TATCTGGTTTAAACTCTTTCAAAAAGACAAAGGGCCAATTTTAATTCGAAAACCGGTCATTTATGTCAATATATCCAGTATATACTCATGATGTGGTCACAATTCACGTTCTTTCTCAAATTTCAGAACAGCAATTTTTATCTACGAGCAGAACATTTCCATGCATTGCACGGCTGAACTGAAACTTATCATTGTGACGGCAAAATGGTTGTCAAACTCAAAATATATATATATATATACAATATATATACAATATATATATATATATATATATATATATATATATATATATATATATATAATTTGTTTTGTTGTAGTAGATAATAAAGTGCTCAACACTAATACAAAAGTGGAGCAAGATATATTTATATCTTAAAATTAATTATTGCAATAATTAATTTTAAGATATAAATATATATATATATAGATATATATATATATAGATATATATATATAGATATATATATATATATATATATATATAGATATATATATATATATATATATAGATATATATATATAGATATCGCTCTTTGGCCTTTGCATGGGTCATATTGAGCGCTCTACAGGATGAGCCATTGCCGCTTACGCATTGCGCACGCTCACTGCTTGCAGTTTGAGGGCTCTGGCATGGTTTTTGATGTCCCACAATCGTAAGGCATCAAAGGTAACTGTAAATAGCAGTTACTTTCATCCTGCTCATCAGCACTACACTGAGCACTACACTGATGAGGCCCATAAGGCCGAAACGGTACCGTCTGTAGTTAGATATCGCTCTATGGCCTTTAGGTCATATTGAGCGCTCTACAGGATGAGCCATTGCCGCTTACGCATTGCGCACGCTCACTGCTTGCATTTTGAGCGCTCTGGCATGGTTTTTGATGTCCCACAATCGTGAGGCATCAAAGGTAACTGTAAATAGCAGTTACTTTCATCCTGCTCATCAGCACTACACTGATGAGGCCCATAAGGCCGAAACTGTACCGTCTGTAGTTATATATATATAAGTGATTTTACGAGCAACAAGCATAGATATCTTATGTATAGCTATTTCGATTAAGGTTGTCCACGAGCAAAGCGGAAAAGTCGGATATATACGAGCGTGAAATGCTGCTGGGAATCGCTATAGTGAAAATTCATTAATTTTTTAGCGATTCCCAGCAGCCTTTCGCGCTTGTATTCGACTTTTCCGTTTTGCTCGTGGACAACCTTAATTGAAATAGCTGTATACACTAGATAGCGCATCTCTCAGTAGTAAAATTGAAGCCAAGAATATTTCAAGGTTTACCCCCATTTGAATAGATGGCGGCCATGTTGGTAGTGCATGCCCACTCGCTAATAAACGCTTAAAAAACAACAATAACTTTCATCATTTAAATAGTTTAAAAATGTATTTGGAGTAGGTGTAACTTAATGTTTAAGTTCACTGTTTAAAAAATAGAAAACATACGAATCTTCTCATTTCATGGGATCCTGAGTCACGGCTCAATTTTTGAATTGCAGAATAATTCAGATGCACTATCTATAGTGTATATAAGATATCTATGGCAAGAAGACAGTTCATGTATAATATGGTCACAGAGCGGGATTACTCTTCCTCTCTTTTGATCATGCTTTAGAACAATAAATCGACCAGGAATATAAATTAAATCTCAGTAACTGTAGCATGCTAGCTGTCTTGCATGACTGGAAATTTTAATCATGCAGTAATAGACGCCGACCTTTGCCTTGAAATCAGTTTGTATTTTTTTGTTTTGTAACTTTGGAAACTGTCAAATACTATCGTCTTTCGTACAATGGCATGGCAAACATTTAAGAAGAGATTACAAATATTTACTCATTAAATGTCATTTCTACAAGCGTCTATACTGCCTTGGGATATGTTAGTTCTTGTTTTATAACTTGGGAAACTGTCAATTTTGATAAAGTACTAGTTTTTCATACAATTGTATATTTGAAGAGGGTTTAATACCCATTATACCTAGTTTGAATTAAGTGTGTTTTTATTTTGTAACTTAGGAAACTGGCAAAAGGCAATACATTTCAAGCCTGAAAATTCGTTGACCATGCATTGATTAATGATTATAGCTTTTGTTGGTTCGGTTGACATCAGAGCACAAAAAATACTCCATATAGTCATAGACAATTTCCACCTACAGTCCAGGGGCATAGATAATAATAATAATAATAATTTAATTCACCACTAACATCGTTTACACACCGAGTACAATGACTACATGTACACACTATTTACAAACAAAACAATATTTGGCCAGGTGGTTGTGACTATATATATATATTTATACAATAGTGTATGTTTACTATATGTTAGTAGCAAGGAAGCCCAATAGAGAAACCATTTCGGCTTATTTGATATTAAGCTTCCTTAAGAGACTATATGAATATGGAAAAAAGGTCAGTAATTTATCAGATAATATAAGCTATTTATTAGATCTTAATTGATAATTGACATATTAATTATACAAAATAAAATACAATCATTATATACACAAATTGAAGATAGTTAGAATGAATTTGATCATAAAGAAACATTTATACATAACAAAGTAATTTCAAGTTCAATTATTAATAAGATAGAATTTAAGCTTTGCTTTAAATGAATGGATAGAAAAACAGTTCAACAATTCCGGAGAAAGAGAATTATAATATTTTGGACCCTGAAATTGTATGGAAAATTTTCTAATGTTTAATCTACACAGAGGAAGGCGGAATTTATTCAACGATCTAATATTATAAGAATGCACCTGATAATTTAAAGTAAACATGTTTTCAAATTTTCTTGGCAACATCGATCGATTATACGAAAACATAAATAAACCTAGTTGCAAGAAATGAATTTGCGCGAATTTCAAAATTTTGAGTTCTTTAAAAATAGGATCAGTATGAGCATCATACGTGGCCCCATTCAAGATTCTGATGACTCGTTTTTGGAGAATTTCAATACGATGTAGGTTGGATTTATAAGTTGAAGCCCAAACAATATTACAATAAAATAAATATGGATAAATCATTGAATAATATAATGATCGTAGTAAGGGTTTAGAAAGATAAAAACTTGACTTATAAATTATTCCCACTGATTTTGAAATTTTATTTGCAATGTAAGAGATATGAGGTTTCCAAGACAAAAATTCATCTAATATTACACCTAGGAATAACGTTTCTTTAGTCTGCTCAATTCGGTGGTTATCTATATAGAGTATAAAGTTAAAGTTATCCTGGTTCGTTCGAGTTTTAAAAACCATAAATTTGGTTTTATCCAAATTTAATGAAAGCATATTTGCTTTAAGCCAAATTGAAATATTATGCAATTCATTATTTAAAATATTTGAAAGAGAACAACAATCTTTTCCAGAAAAAAATATGTTTGTGTCATCAGCAAACAATATAAATTCTAGAATGTTAGAAACTCGGTTCAAATCATTAATATACAATAGAAATAGTAATGGACCTAGAATTGAACCTTGTGGTACACCACAAGAAATCAACTTTCGAGATGAACGACAGCCATTAAACTCAACATACTGGAATCTATTAGAGAGATAACTTTTAAACCAATCTAACGACAAGCCACGAATTCCATAATGATTTAATTTATCCAATAGAATGTTATGATTAACTGTGTCGAAAGCTTTAGAAAGATCTAAAAATATCCCAACAGCAAATTCTCTTCGATCAATTGCAGAGGATATTTTGTCGTATATGTCAATCAGGGCTAATGATGTGGAATGTTTTTTCCTAAATCCATATTGACTGTTGCAAAGAATTTTGTTTTTATCGATATAATTTAACAAACGATTATAAACAATTCTCTCAAGAAATTTTGAGAAACTTGGAAGAATAGAGACTGGTCTATAATTAGTAAATGTTGCAGAATCACCAGATTTGAACAAAGGAATGACGCGTGCAACTTTCATTTCGTCAGGTACTATACCATGATTTATAGACAAATTAAAGACATGCGCTAAAGGTGCGGAGATTATGTTGATAGATTGTTTTATGATAGACATTGGAATTCCATCATAACCAACAGCTTTACCAGTTGCAAACGTATTAGCAATCTCTATAATTTCTCCTTCGTCAATTGGACTTAAAAAAAATAGAATTAATAAAGGAATCATTAAGGAAGTCCATATGCGAGACTGTGGAAGGTTGTATTTTCCTAGCCAGATTTGGGCCAATGTTAGTAAAATAGTTGCAAAATCTATTAGCAATTTCTTCTGGATCTGAAATTTCCAATTATCAGCTTTGAACGCTGATGTCTGTATGACTTTAACTTTTTTCTTGCATATTATTTCATTTAATAACTTCCATGTTGCACGATTATTTGATTTACAATTTTCCAACTTATTTTCGTAATATAATCGCTTAGAAGTTCTTAGAGAATGATTCAATTTATTTTTATACGTTTTGTAAAATGTTTCAGAGTTAGGAGTGGGGTTCTGCAAAAATTTTTTATATAATTTATTTTTCTTTTTAATAGAATTTAAAAGGCCATTCGACAACCATGGTTTGCTTCTGAAACCACACCTAATTCTTATTTTTTTCAACGGAAAACAATTGTTATAAATCTCACTGAATTTATTAAAAAATGATTTGTAAGCAGTTTTCGGATCATTAATTCCTTCTAATTGAAACCAACTATTATTCATTAACTGCTCTTTAAATCTAATTTCGTTGTTGGGACATTTATCGCGTACTAATATAGTTTCATTGCGATCTTTATATGATGGATCCATAACTATCTTGCATTCCTATATGAATCCGAAGACATTGGTCATGAAATCTATATTACTATAATTATCAGATTAAGAAAATAATGTTAATTCTTTTTCTAATTCAATTACATTTTATTTCAGCAGGCAGAATTGAGAATTTTATGTGGGCAAATAAATAAAAAGTTAGAGATAGCTATACGGTTTAATTTCGTTGTTCGTATAAGTATATCAACATTTCTCTAGTGAAATTGACGAGCTGAAATGCCACCCGTTATCCAACTAATTGTAATGAACTTAATTAAGGCAAGCGAGCCTAAGTAAGGCTGGTTTTATACACTATGAAAGTTTCTGTGATCACAGTAGGAACATAGCAGAGCCGTAAAGTTGTGAAGGATTTGTATAAGAAATGTTTGAGGTAACCGAGTCAGTATTAACATCAAACATTTGTTACAAATCTTTCAATACTTATATAGTTTGCAATTTACACTGCCCAAACGAAATCCCTACTGCAGGATCACAGAAAGTTTGATAGTCGGTAAACCAGCAAAGAAGCACCCCTTAAATTTTTCACTTTTCGTAATGACGGCCAAAGCTATATGAACGTATTAAGATTTTTAAGCAAGCAAGGGCGAAAATATTGATACAATGAAATTTACAATAATTTAGAAAAGAATGAACAATTATAATCCCACGCGCAAGTAGGAGACCGCAAGTCTAATTCCTTAGTATAATACTCTGCATTTACAACCGGAAAATGACAGAATATCACATCTTGCATACAACACCTACATCATGCATTTCAAGCTAAGATAACTGCTACTTTAAGTTAAGTAGCTAGAACTCTTCTGCCCCATAAACTCCTGTGAAGACGACAGGTGTTTTCTACCGAATCATTTATATACTTCAACTTTAGTTTGTTTGCCTTTTCGTCGTCGGGTTGTCCTAAAGATCCCTATGATGTAGCAAATGCTCAATGTGTACTGTAGTAGATTCAAAATCTAAATATCGAAGTTAAGTATTCAAATTAATACCATAGTCCATGCATAGTCTGTATAGCCACATTAAAAAATCCTAATTGATTCAGCTTCGTATTAATATACCAGTAGTGATATTTTGTCATTGCACATGTATAAAGAAAATATAATTCGAATCGTTTTCAAACAACTTTTTCTGCAGTTTAATAATTTGAAAGGCATGCTTATTGACATAAGCCCCGTTTACACTACGCTCGATTTTTGGTACCGTACCACTTTTTTGGTTCTTGGACTACCTAAATAGGTAGTCCATGAACCAAGGGGGTGGTACGGGTACCAATTTTATCCGTGCCGTACCAAAAATTGAGCGTAGTGTAAACGGGGCTTATATAGTCGCATGTTTTTTAAGACAACAAGGACAATATATTTATTTAAACTTTCTTGGTGATGTATTCTGTTCGACTCCAAATTAATCTTTCGCGCATTTATCGCCTCAGTATCGATGAAAGAATAACTTCTCACACGACTGATAAATTTTCACTCATGGCCATTTCTAGGAAAGGCCATGCATTTTAACTATTTTCCTCATGCATGTACTTCACACACAAATCACGACAATTTATAATGGATAACTATAATATATTTATTCATAATAACTATATAATACATATTTAATCAATATAATTATTCACCTAACTTGATTTCTAAGTTAATAACCACGAAATTTTAACCTTTTAGGGTATACACTAAACGCTCATGAATTTTACCATTATATGTATTATTATCTATTATGAGCTTGAAAATATTTTGTGCATTTATCGGTTCAGTGACTGCGAAAGAATTTCTCATACGACTAAATTCAAAGTTACAAAATAATTAAAATCACTCCCACTGTCACCTTGGAACTCATAGAGCGTGCATTCTAATTTAATTGCCTGGTCTAATTTTTTACATTAAAATGGCTGACTCATGGCTGAGCCGAAAATAAAATAAAAATAATCTCCCGACTGTTAATAAAGTTTAATTAACTTTCTCTCCAGGGGCGTAAAGCGACTGTATTACTTAAACCCCGGAGAAGCCCAGTTTTCACAATTGGCTGTTGGTGTTGGCTTCGTGAAGACTGAATTATTTTCTACTGTTATCTGCTCATTCGGAACTATATCGGACAAGATGAAGCTTTCTGTGGTAAGTAAGATACAAAGTTCTGCATGTTTATGAATACATTTTGACATATTAGGGCAGACGCTCTCTGGTTTGAAATATTTATTTAACGAGCTTTTGACTGACAATCTGCAGTCTTCAACTAGTAGTTTACAATGAAATAGATCGAAATGACAACTTGCAGTTTACAATCGCATACACGCGGAACAAAAACATGAGACGAGTGACAAGAATTGACAGTTATGGTCACATAAGTTATTAATGCGGACTAATAGGTCTATACAACGCGGGGAAAAATTGTCAACGTTTCTTGAGTAAAAAAATCCGATATTTTTCTCGTGAATTTTTAAAATTATTGTCAGCATTTTTGTTCTTGCATGCAGTGTGCCATTATTCCACTGTTGATCTGTGCCGATTACCAATATTACTGCTTCGTTCTCAAAATCAATTCGGTGGGTCGGTTTTTCCAGGCATGGTTGGCAATGTTGGACCCGCTCTTACATAATTGTTCAACATTTCTTTTATGCTCCTTTCTTCTGGTGTTGAATGTTCTGCCCGCCTCACAAATGTAACTCCAGGTGTAATCTGCGCAGCTGATTCGATAGATGAACATAGATTGATTGATAACGATAGATATTGCACGTTGCATAAAGCTTTAGGTTCCTCGATTATTACAGTAAAATCCCGTGGACACTGGGAACTTATACTATATTTTCCAGTTTAGGGAGAATAGGTTCTTATATGTCTGATCACAACATTTAGTTGTATTTCATGCATATATGACATAGTTGTATTTGTGGCAACTGTCCTGGTTATAGGTTCAATAAAAATGTATTAATTAACCCCTTTAAATGGCATAATGCACCCTAATGCGCCCTACTTTAGTATTGTAGTCTAATGCGAGACGATTTTACTCGTCAAGTGGAGAGTGCTGCCACTCAATGGGTTAAAACAATCTGCCCACCATCCTCTCAACCTTTAAGAAGTGGCAATGCACACTGATACGCCCTACTTTAGTATTTTAATCTGTCTAATGCCAGACAATTTTATTCGTCTGAGAGTGCTGCCACTCATTGGGTTAAAACAATCTGCCCATCATCCTCTCAACCTTTAAGAAGTGGCAATGTACACTGATAGCCCTACTTTAGTATTTTAATCTGTCTAATGCCAGACAATTTTACTCGTCTGAGAGTGCTGCCACTCAATGGGTTAAAACAATCTGCCCATCATCCTCTCAACCTTTAAGAAGTGGCAATGCACACTGATACGCCCTACTTCAGTATTTTAATCTGTCTAATGCCAGACAATTTTACTCGTCTGAGAGTGCTGCCAGTCAAGAGGGCCCTGAAGAGGTAAACTGGGAACTGGGATTGATCTATTTTTAGACTGGGAAAATGGGATTTGGGTTGCTGGGACTGGGATTTGGCCACTGGGAATGGGAAATGAAGTCCTCAAAAATGGGAATGGGATTGAGGTAATGCGAGTCGATTCCCAATTTTTCTACATTTTAAGTGTTTTAAAATATAATTTTGATCCGTTTTCGGTGTCTTTGGTCATGATTGTTGTTGTTAACTATATTATTCACAGCACTACCTGCGAACAGGCATACTCTGGCGCCCGGAATTCTGGGTTTTCTGATTATGCGTGTCTCAGAATGCTACAAATGCCATTTCCGGGATTCAAATTTAAAAATGTTCTGTGCCTTCGGCACGAGCCCCCCCTGTATTTCATGAAGTGTCCACCACTTGCACACACGATGGCTTAAAAGGTCTTAAAACTGTTTATTGTACGGATAAATAAAGGGTTTTTTATTGACTGGGATTTCAATAACTCGGACTGGGATTTCTAATAAAAATCCAACTGGGACTGAGATTTTGACCTTCACTCAATGGGTTAAATTTCACTCAAATTTTCCATCTACAAATTCCTTCCAAATATATTTACCCTTTTGTTTGTTTAGGCTGTACTTTTGTTGGCTTTATTTACCACTACCTTGGCTCGCAGTCCTCTCTACAACCTTTTCAGGCGTGACGTCAAGGGTAAAAGAGACGGTATATCATCCTTACTGATTTATAGACTTTTAATATACTTGTTCTTTAATGTTGTTAGAGATTATAAGAATTCTTGCTAAACTCTTCTTTTTATATTTCTTTTTATAGGTAACGACAAGTAAGTAGTTGATTTTTTTAAATATGATATGCCTGTGAACCGTTGAACTATTGAATGTGTTAGGCTAGTATATACAGGACCATTGCTCGACATTTTTGTTATGTGATTCTTTATATGCTGAGATGCAAACGAATTATAAGTTATTATATATAAGAGGCGATGCATGAAAACCGTTCAGAGCCCAAATATGTTTGGCGTATTTTGTTTTAGCATTATCTTCTATTTCATACAGTTATAGTTACCTTTTCAAATGTATCTGCCGGCTCAAAAACATGGAACAATACAAAAAAGTTAATGTGCTATAATATTATATTGATGCCAGATTTATGCAGCAATATAAGCAAAACTTGCTGAACTTCAATCAGGTGCAACTTCCCCTCCCCTCCCCCACCCCAGAAAATTTACCTATTACACTACCATAAATTTTGTAGACAATATTATATAAATTATTTTGTGTTCTTTCGTTTTAATTAAAGGGGTGTCAAAAAGATTGAGAAGGAAATTGACGAAGAAATTGAAATTGGTGAAGAACTGGCAAAGGACATTGGAAGAGAGGTTAGTATTCGATACTGCATGTCGTCTTCACCAAACCGACACCAAGATAGTGACGATACCTGAACACGTGCATATACTACTGACTTTATACAGCGTGTATAAAAAAGTGCAT